CATGTGAACAGGTTTAACTTACATATGTAGCTGATCTTGTTTCTGAAAAGTTTCGTCTAAAAAGATGTCTCATGTATTTATAATTATTGTACGAGCTAGATCGGGTTAGAAAAAGTGTCAGGTGGCTATAGCTAGACTGAATTCCGTCGTCACCAAAGTTCAGTTTCCATTAATCAGTTTTAACTCTGTCGGGCCACTACAAAAACAGTTGCTGTATACAGAGGACCCCGAGAATAATTGTTTTGCACATTTTCATTAAAATATTGGACCGACAATACGGTCCTGATTTTTAGAAAACCACAAGTCCCTTGGTCCGCTTGGGCTCATGGCCTGTCCTCAGTGCATAAATGCTTTCAAAATTATTGTAGATCTACGAATACGATCATTAAAAACCAACAACTACTAGGTGAATCCGACTGAAAGGAGATATATATAATATATCATAATTTGGTATCATCCGTATAACGAATGTATAAATTTTGGGTTTTTTTCTTTCCTTTTTCTGATGATTAAATTTTGGTTTGTGTAGATATAAAATAGAGACGGAGACGACACAATTCATGAGTAGACGTGACACGTTGGAGCTGACTGTGTTTCTCTATCTCACTCACAGTCGCATTTCTAAACTCTATATATAGAGAGAGAGATGAAGGTATACGTATGTTACATCTCCACACTATAAGACATGAAAAGTATTTGAGTTACGTATTCTTCTACCTCAAACCCTTTTCTTATTTTCTCCTCTTCTCCTTCTCCTCCTATCCCTTATTTTCTCTTACTAAATTGGTACGCTCCCTTATTTTCTCCTCTTCTTCTTCTCTTCCTCCCTTTAAACATAAAAAGACAACTTTACTTACTTCTCTAGAGTTGATGGTAACAAGATTTGACCCACTAGTAATCGACATAAACAGCAACGGTTTAAATTTCGAAAAATAAGGGAACACATTTGGTAGTATTATAACATTTCTGATAAGAATGTACTCCTAATGGTATTGTTGGTATTAAATTATATTTGGTAGTATATTAATATATTTGACTAAGTTTTTAGTAATGATGATGGTATTGGTAACATTATATTCAATCATGTTTACTATGGTATTCAACAATCGAGTATAAATATAGGCATTAAGTCATTATATATGGATTTTAGGTGGATGCTTACTCTGACTTTGGAGGTCACCGTTAGTTTAAGATCAGGTATGTTTTTTTTATAATAATCTCTCTTAATGCGTATCTATGTTTATAGTCTAGATTTCTTACAGTTACACTTGCATGTGTTACCTATGTCTGTGTGTGTGTATTGTCATTAGCAAATCATGTTTGTTTTTTTTTTCTCGAACTTGA